AGAGCCATCAAAAAAGCCAAAACTATTGCGATACCTTTGAGCCAGGAATATAATTGCATAGATCATCATAATCTGGAAGTCCTAATTAAAGATTAAAATATATTCGCATATGCTGGCTTCCAAAGCCAAAAAATACATCGGCTAGGTATTTATTATTAAGCGTTTAAGCTTAAGACACAAAAGCTGCTAAACGTGGCCAAGGTAGGCTTGAATTAAGGGTTAGTTGGCCCAAAACTAGTATCACTAGGCTCATTTAGGAAAAAGTAAAGGGTTAAATTATATAATATACACTATCAGGCAAAGTGGTGAAAGAGCATAGCAGAAAGGAATAGCGAACAGAGGAAGATAATGAGGCATAGGAAAAGCGATGAAGAAAGAAACGATGCAGGAATTTAATTCAGTGTGAATTTAGTGCAAACAGGAAGCAAGGAATCTTGACAATAGCAATAGCCATTACCGATCCTTTCATAAAGGCATTCACTTGGTCTTCTGAGATTTGCAGACTTCTCTCACATTCTGAGCCGAATAAGCCACCTGTCTGGAGCTTAGGCCCCATTTTCTGATTATGCAATTCGTCCACGAGTCGGGAAGTAGATGCGACTTTGTCTTTGGCTAAGTGGGTCTCAGACAAAAGAATATCTCGATTGAGGTGTTGAAAAGACAAAAATTTGTCAAAAGGCGGCTTGACTTCGTTTCTGACATTTGCTGAGGTGTTACTAAAGTAGGCCATGTTCTCGAATGGTGTAGTAGACAAAGACTGGGTTGTTCTGTTTCGAGTAAAAATGTGGGCCGCTGCGCGGGGGATTTCGGTGTCTGGCGAAGTGATGGTATTATTAGAATGGCAAGGCCCATTTAGATGAAGAGCTAGAAAAAATTTCTTGGGATTAAGGCTGGTGAAGTCAGAAGGGACTGGCGAAGAATGGGGAGAAGTAGAAAGTTGTGGTTTAAGAGGAATTCTGAGTAATGGAGAAGCAGGAATTTCACACGAATATGAACATAAAGGAGTGATAGGTATAGTTTTGACTGGAGAAGGCCTACTGGTAGGCGAAAAAGAAAGCGTTGAGAAGGCAGTTGGCTGTGGAGAAGTGCTCGTGGAGTGAGCGACTCTGCGGCTATCCTGTAAGTCAGGGTCTAGAATAGGATTGTGCTTGGCGAGAACAATCCCGGATAAGGGTTGATCATTTCCGAATGAGCCACTGGTACGCTGGTATTTGAGGCCGATTGGCCAGTAAGGTTCATTGCGAAGCAAGTTACAATTCGATTGAGTCAGACGATGGACATCGCCTGGCTTATTATCATCAATTATACTGCTGCTATGACTAAAGTTGCTAGTTGTGCTACAAGTTAGCGCGTCGCTATCACAAGATTTGACTGTAAATTGTGAATGCCAGTCCTGAGGATCAAACTTTGTGAGAAGCGGCCTACTACTCTTAGTGCTGGTCTTGCCCTTTCTATTTCCAGCATTTGAGAGCAGAATGACCTTCTCTGGCATATATGATTGCTGCTGGTTTGTTGAATGTGAAACATTGGTTGGAGATCCACGCAATTGTTTGAAAGATCCTGAAGTGTTCGAATGGATCTTTTGGGCAAGACGGTCAGGTAGAGATAGCTGCGAATGAAGATTGTGGTGAATGTGGATCTTTTGGGTCATATCATGCTGAATAAGGTGGTAAGAGTGGGGTTGTGGTAAAGGATGCTCGATTTTAGATAGAGATGCTGAATGACCGGAAACCAACTTCAGCTTATTTGGTGATAATTGGGCTCTATTAACCAATCCATTGCTTGGCCCAATTGGCACCTCTGACTGACTCAGCCCCAAAGGAACTTGGCGGGTCTTAGATAATGGAGATGGGAGTAAGTGAATTGACACATCAGTAATTACTTCTTCACGTTGAAGAGTGTCAGCCAACATATCCGCCAATTCAGTGTCATTCAGGCCAGGCCACCCAGCCCTATCCTCTTCTGACAACTCAGAAGTCTCTAACTCACTTCGAGGCAGCGAAGAAAATTGTTGACCTTTCGACACTTCTAAGCTGCCCGAATACCCAGTCCGTCGAAACTCTATGCATCGGCTTCTTCTTCCTTGGTAAGATACATCTGAATCCTTTCGAACGCCTTTGGCGAGTAAGGATGGAGATGTGAGGGTCGAAGCCGGGATGACGGTTGATTGAGAGGAATCATCGCTTCGACCTGAATGTATCGCAGCTTCGAAAGCGAGAGGAGACTGTGTGTCGGACTGGTTAGCTCCAGGAATTGCTTTTCTGCCGTCCTGATCCGAGGTGATAGTGAGAAATATCGCTTTCTTTTCGTTGACCCTATGGTGGTCTTTTGGTGAATTTGATGTGGTCGAAGGATTACGATTGGATGAATCAGGCTTTCTTTGACAGGGGACAAAATCGCCTTTGAAGGTGGCAAAGCGACCAGAAGAGGTTCGGTCTCGAGGGTCATTGGGAGTAGAGATGATATTATCTGTCCTTGACGTTGGTGTAGCAGATTGTCTGTCCGAGTTCGAACGCCTTGACGCAACCACCGCCACCTCCTTACAAGTCCTAGATATCCAGGTCTCAACGTCGCTATCGTAATACGTGGCGAGCGGAGACTTTGATGGCGTAATGGAGACCAAGCTTCCGGATACAGAGTTGTTGAGAGATGGGAGTTGGGTTCTAGCAGCTTTGTGGTCTCCTTCATCATCTGCGTTGAGCCAAGTGCGAAGGTCTCGGTCGGCTGGCTCTGTTTGTTCTGATTTTCCGATACAAGTGAGACTTTGTTTGACGGATCTATCATCTCCCCCAAGATAGTCGTGGGAGATGCGCCGACTGGAGGCGACGGGTTGGAGAACCGGAGAGATAGGAAGTGAGGTGAGTGACTTGTGCAAATCGGAGACTGTGGCTGATGAAATGGAGGAAGAGGAGATAGAGGGGATACTGCAGATATGATTGGTTGTTGAGAAAGAGGGGTAGCAGGATTGAGAGTGGAAGGAAGATTGGGACAAGTGGAAGGAGCTAGTTCTGCTACTGCTTGAGGTTTCATGATATGTCTGATGCGACTGGCCAGTTGAAGGATACGACGACTTATTCGATGTGATGGCCAGCGCGTCTGGTGAGCCCCGGCTATCCCGAGGAGATAGCAATAAAGATTCAGAGTTGGCTTGATAATTTAGCAAAATAATCGTCCCAAAATTGAAGTAAATAAGAAACAAATATAAAGAAATTAAAAAGAATAAAATGGGAAATATAAAAGTGGATATAGGCATGATTTGATGAGATGTATAAAGATGTATAAAGTGGCTTCCATATGAATCCACATGTTAATTTGCTATGCCAAATAATGTGCTTAGCTATGGTCAGTAGGTCGAAGAATATAGCCGAAATGGTAAAATGATTGCATTTTGAAAGAGTAACGTTTTTTTAGAAGATTAGCAAAGACAGTAAGGTAGAGAAAAAAAGATAGATATAGGACAAAAGAGGCAAAGTGTGTAGGATATGAGAAAAATCAAAAAAATGTCGATCAAAAATTACAAACCAATGTGTGCATGAATATAGGTACAAATGCATACGGATTTTAGGATGGGCACAACACACGCATTAATAAAAGTGAATTGGGCACACTATCCGAAAAGCGGAGTTAAAGGTGGTCAAAAAGCTGATTGGCAAAGACGGCACAAGGAAACAAGAAGAAAGTCGTAATGAACAATAAAATTCATAATACAAGTTAAAGTAAAGTTGAATAACTAGTGAAAAGATGATGCAGTTAAGAAAGTGGCCACAAACTAAGGGAAGCTCTAGGGCACGCACAGACAAACAGTTAGCCAATAATCACATCAAAAACAGGTGCATAATATAGGCAAATGCATGTTTCCAAGGATAATCACACCAGGGGAAATGAGATAAAGACAAAAGATAGAGATGGGACATAATTTTATATAGTGAGATATAAATCGTGGAAAGCTAAATAAGAATTATAAACATATTATGGATGCATGCATTTAAGCGTGTTCATAGTCCGAAATAAATAACTGGAAAGTTAACTTAATTTAGAAAAAAAATCGGCTTTGAGAAAAGCGAAAGTAAAAAGCAGAATTCGCGATTTTAAAATGGTATAAGTAGAAGGTTGGATGAGAAAAGAGACTGCTTATACAATGGTTGAGGGGAATAAACACTATACTTGCAAAAACTTCAGTAGATCAAATCATAAAAATGATTGTAAATAAAGAAATAGTGTGAAAATATTCCAATCGACAAACAAAAGATAAGATAGGTAGGATAAGTTGAGAACGATTCAGTGTTAAACAGAGGTGACCAGCTTTCTGTGATATTCCGAATCCACATCAGTCAGACAACTGTTTTCTACATAGCGAAACATCAATGTAAGTGAACATATCTAAGAATTCAACGAGTAAGTCTATGTTTGAATAAATATACAAAAATAAATGTATTGATATTAAATTGGTTTTTATAATAATTTAACTCACTAGTATCGCCCTACATCAACAAGTTATTTTGAGCTGAATCAAAATTATCTCAACAATTATATAAAATTGGCACTGGATTCGGCTGGTAATGGCTCTAAAAGGACATAGGGAGTTGGGGAAAATAAACGCATATATA